TGCAGGGAGCATGAGGCACAACGAAAACATCAGGGGAAAGAACGAGAAAATACGTCAGGTGATGATTAAGGTCACAATCGGCCCGCCTGAGAACAATTACAAAGGCTTAGCCGTGGTCCGAAGACGTCAGCCAAAGTAAGCGGTGTGTGGGTGACGGCTGAGCACATGATCAGCACGCCTTATCATTTCCCATCAAACGCGTCGGCATCTTGCCTGCCGCCGGCAGCTTCGTCTAATCGCCCCCTTATCGGCAGTTTTTTCACACACCTCTCGGGTGGTATGAATAAGATAACAAAGATTCTCAGCCGAGTAAGCCCGCATGTTTATGAAAGCGAAGCTGCAGCTACAGCTGGACGGCTTGACGATATCTAAACAGGCCTAAGAAAAACAAAGGCGAGATTTGAGCCGGTTGGGTTGATCCTGTAGATAACTAGAAGGGCTTCATGGTGATGCAGTCAATCATCGGCTGATTGCCAGCTGAGCGCTACCGTTGGTTTCGTAAGAGTAAATGAAGATAAGAGCTTGAAGTCTAGTCATTGTTTGCTATGTGTAAGACTTGATAACATCTAGAGAGCAAATTACCGGATAGCTGAAGGAATGCACAGGGAGGGGCTTCGGGGAATTTCGCTGTTAACTGCTCATTCTGCGAAAGTTTGAACTACAGTAGTTGAGGAAGCATCCCGTAGTTCATTAAAAACATACATGCATCAACCCAAGTTCCAGGTACCCAAGCGAGCCGTGGGAAAGGGGTCGGGAGCGGTTTTGAAAGAACATTGGAACGCTAGGATAAAAAACCCCATAAGCTTCCTTCACAGGACCAGGACACGTCCTGCCGCTTGGTCCTGGGGAAAGTTTTGCAAAACACGGTTTTCCCCAGAAGAACAGCCGTGTACCGGAGTGGGGGGGAGGACCGACAAAAGTCAACAATTGAAAACATCTTTTCACAAGGGCAAATAGGACCCCACGATCCTCCCCCCCTAGCTGGGTATCCCCAACGTATGGTACCCTGAGGGGCAGATTGCAAAGATCGAGTGATGAAAGTCCAGACGAGACAAATAAGGGATTAATCAGTGATCATTCGGTTATCACATAGTTGCCAGTTTTTGCTGTCCTGATCCCGCACCCTAACTATACTATAAAACAGGGTAGAGATGATGTAGTGGAAAGTGGCGCGGCTTACGAAGTGCACAGAACGGAGAGCAAATTTTGGATCGACCCCTCACCCCTCCACAAGGGACCCGGAGGGAATCTACTCCTTCAGGGTCGAATGGTTAATTAAAGAGCCATATGGGCGCAGGGTACAGCACCATGATGTG